TTTCCTATGAAAAATAGCATTATTCTGATGGATTTTCATTTTTCCGCTGACCTAAATAATATATGTAACTATTAAATAAGATCATTATTCCGCTTGTCATGGTCATTATTCCATTATTCTCAATCATTTTCCTACGCAGCGTAGCATTATTCTCATTTTGTCAGGAGCCGATCATTTTTGTGCTGAGCGTCATTTTTTCGCTTGGAATAATCATTTGTGTCACCGATGACAAAGTTGCCCAACCCTCATCTATAGTAGAGTGTGGGTGTGGATGTATGTAGGTTATGAAGAAAATATCCAGTCCCACCCTCAAGTATTGATATAATATCATTTTTGATGCACTTTCACTTGATATAAATTTTATTGTTGATGTTATTTGAAATCACAGCATTATCCATCTGGAAAAACATTTTTAAACAACCTGTCCATCATAGACTTTTCATCATTGACAATTGATATCAACAGTCTTACGAGGGAACATATCTAACTATCAGATGCCATTCGACCCCATCTTTTGGTTGTAATTGATGAAGTAAGTATTTTTGAAAAGGTAAGAGAAAAAATGTCTTTATATATATGTAATCTGGATTGAGACCTACATAGTTTATTTATGTTCGGTGAAGTTGATTGTTAAATGAAGATATAGAGCGAAATACATTTTTTCTGTATAGGGAAAAGTTCAAGGTTATTTTATTTCAAAAACAAAACTTAATAATCGCAATATTTAGCACGAGCTTTCTTATGCTTGATACTTTGTCAATGCGTCTTTATTTTTACAGCATATTCATAATCAATATAAGATTATATTGACATTTTTCCTCTTTAACAGACTTGAATTAAAGTATAAGAAATGTATAATCAACTTTAAAGTATTGAAAACAGATTTGAAAAAATGATTTGATTTAATTTTTAAGACAAAACTGAGCTAACAAAGAAAAATGTCTCAATAAACATATATTGATAAGTAATATTATACATTATCATTACATTGAGCTGAACTTGCTATTTTAATTATCACTTGACTTTGCATTTATAGAAGTAGCATCAATTTGATATGAGTCATTAAGATTTTTGCCATGTATTGATTTTCATAGTTGAGATGAGTTATCTTATGGTAACGCTTCTCATCCACACTCTCAAAAGCATGTTGCACATTTTTCGATAAATTTCACAAAAAGATAGAACATTGAGTTCATGTTTTTATTCATTGTAAGCAATAGTTTCCAATAGAAGAGTTATGAAAGAATTTATTTTCCAATACCCATCTAACGGGTCACTGTTTTTCTGACCTTAGAGCTATGGAGTCTCTGTGAATGCAAGACTTGAATATTTTTTTTTCTTCAGCATTTGCCACGATTCTCAACTCTTGTTCAGATCAGTCTGATGATGATTTGGAGGAAGAAAGTAACGAAGAAGGCACATATGGAAAAGCAAAAGTAATTACATTTCGTCTCACGAATACTAAATTCGGACGAGGAACAGATCAATTAAAACAACGGTTGATCTTTCATTACCAATAAGAGGCTGTGGGTGTGAATGTGTGAGTTGAATGTAAGGCTGAGTCTTTTCCTTATCCACATCTCACGCTCACGCACACACATTCAAACCTTTGTAGAATAGAATTTCAATGCCGTTATCTTTTCGTAGTAATCCACTACAGCATTCTGTTATATGAGATTTTATTTCCCTTATTCTCTTTATTCAAAAAGATCAGGTGTACATAGCAAAAAAGAGTATTAAAATATTAATGAATTTTTTTTTGTATAAAGCCTATTGAGTATAAAGTAATAGCCATGTTATGTTCGAGTTTAGTAATTTAAAGATTGAGAATACTCTGGATCATTGATAAATCCTATTTCTAATCACTAGAAGGCTTCTAATTTGTATAATGTGCAGATTGATTAATGTTGAGAAGAAAATAGTTACTTAAGGTATCTTGATTGCAACCGAACTCGATTATGTCGATATCGTGCATCACGATTGTGACCAGGAAGCATCATTCGCCGAACAGACGGTAAGTGACCTAGACGAAGCATGATATCACTAATAGCCCATACACCATCGTCAGCATTAACCAAATTTCGTTCTAATAAATATCTATATGGAATAAAGAAATAACCCTTGAGACCCTAAAATAAGAAGTAGAACATTCGTTTTGATGAGAAATTTACTTATGATAGCTGTTACCCAGTCAGCTCCCCAAGAGTTTCGTACGATGAAATTCTGCGTTCGATCATCGTAACCGACAATCATAACGGCATGGAAGCCCCATGAAGACACATTAGGATCGTTTGGATCTGGCATCGATACATAACCATTATTTTGTTTTGCTTCGTCGGATGCCTCGGCCACGTTCAATGCAATGCCGATAAGAAATGGTACTCCATTAGCTAAACATGTTTTCATTGCAGGTAAATTTCGAGGAATTTTCAATGGAACAACTGTAATTTCTTTTGCTGCTTCATATACGTGAGGTGGTGGTGTCTTGTTGACATTTTTAAGCTCATATGGCCAGACAAACTCTTGACATACACCAAATTTTCGCAACCCTAACGCAGTGTCTCGTTTTAATGTACCATCATCCGATACTGCCAAACTTTGACCTTGAATCATTCGACCATTGTAATATATGAACATCCGAGAGACATCAATGTGAAGACCAGTGCGACGCAGAATAAAATATTCAATTATGCCTGCAAAAGCATTAGCAACACTAGAGGAAAAATAAAATCATTCGTTACATGATTTATCCACATATATTTCTTCAGCGTCGAATAAGGTAAATCTCACAAATGGCAATACTCACCATGCGTCATAATTCTGTTGATCTTCGACAGGTGTCATCCATCGACGAAGATCAACATAGGATGGTAAAGGTTGCATTGGAAACTGACATGGTCGCATAAGACGATATCGACGAGGCATCTTATCTCTATTGGCTAGTGATTGAAATGATCGGTATCGAAAAGCTTGCATCATGCTTCTCTCTTTCGCCGACAACAACTGCTATCTTGAATGAGTATAAGACTCAAGAGACCAGTGAAAGAAAAAAAGACATTCATAATATATATGCAAAAGTAAGTTTTACTTTCCAATAACTCGTACACAAATAAAGGACAAAGTCGATAGAGCATGACTGTATATGTTTTTTTCAAAAATAAAATCAAAACAACAATCAAGGACATTATTTTTTTCCACGGTTTTCTCCAAATGATCACACAACCGGCAGACCATTTTATGTGATATGAGAAATGAATCATTTCGTCTGGTCAGAAATAACATATAAATTATTGTTATTTACTAAAATTTGTACTTTCTTATATATATATTTGTATATTTTTATTCAAGTTTTAAAATTAAAATAAAACAATTAATTAAATTAATTGTTATACATATGTCACAGTTGACATCGAAAATGAGTTGAGTTTGGAATGTATGCTGATAGCAGGACTCATTCAATAATTAATGTTTGTTTGTTTACTATTATGCTCAACTTTTGTAATTATAGAAATGCTAAATTATTGATCGACTTTTTATGATTTATTTTACATTATTTTAAAATACTAACATATAGATAACTTTCATGTTTAACAATGATTATTTAGTAAACATTGGAATTTTATTCAACTCTTCATAATTAATAGATTGATGTTCACTGCTATGACATATGAAATCAGAAACATATTCTGTCTCTTTCTTTTAAAAACATAAATTATTTTTTGTGTGATTCTGCTTTCAAATGATTGAATACCTTGAATTCTAAAGTACAAACTTACATTGATAAACTTCCTGAAAATAAGCGTATCGAATAGATAATCAACAATCCGTCTTAGTATAGGATCTGGTGATGAAGAGGGTGATAAATTTGGCTTTATTGAAACTCAAAATGGTTGGATGAAACTCGCACCAAAATTCAAGTTAATTTTTCTGATTCTATATGTGCGGCGTACCATCTGGCAACAAACCATTCTTGAGATATACACTGAAATTCATTATAGGTGGTGTTAGTTTTGTAAATAACTCTAGAGTACATTAGAGTATGGGTGTAGATGTTGGCTTTGTTTTCACGACGCCCGTTCTCTTGTGAAAACAAGGCCAACACGCACATCAAAATCCAACTCACACACGCACACACTCATTAGGAGAAAAACTCGAAAATAAACTTATATGATTAATTTTGAAGGTCACTGAATACATCAAACGAAACAAGTTTTCCAAGTTTTTTGAAGTAGAAGTCGAAAAACACGACAACACGCCGTTCTAGTAGCGAGCAACGGACATGAATTTTGTATCTGTTTCAAGATACGGCTCTTATGCCTTCATAACGTATCAAAAACTGATAATTGAATAGTAAACTTTTCTTGGAATTCTTTTTGCAAGTGACTGGCTTCATCTTCACGAACCTCAGCTATCTGATTTTGGTATTGTTGATGAGTTTTTGCTTTTTGCTACATTGTTTACTTGTTTTGATGTTTGCTCTTCTGAATGACTTGAAGGCTTTTTGTACTGTTCTAGCAATGTGCACATTACCAATCTTAAAAGAAAGAATAACCACCAAGCACTTGATGGATTTACGGTTACTTAAGAAAAACCGAATAAGCATGCTCGGTCAGATTTGAATAAGAGCAAGTATGATTCGGCCAACAAACATATACTTCATATTGGTTGATTTCTCACTTGAATATCCATGAATGAATTCTCTTTGCTTGAATTGAGTATCATTCTTATTCATTTTCTGTTGTGATCAAATTACATTTGTGCGATACGATACTTTCCTTTCGCCGAAAAATAATCTGCATACCCCTAAAAACCATAAGTTGGCTACTGAAATTGTGAGTATTTCCTTCAGGTATTTTGGTTGTAGAAGAAATGCAACAATAAGAGCAAAGTGATTAATTGAATAGAAGAAGTAGAATGTATAAAAGTATGTGATTCAGCATGCATACTACATTGTGACTTTCAAACTCAACAACAACCATGTTGTGTAGTATATGTCTCGTCGTAACCATATTCATTACTGGTGGACAAACTGTTCCTCTGAGTGACTTCTTTTCTTTCGGTAATCAATTTAATGATACACTATTTTGGCCAAATGATGATGAGAGTACAGGTGCTCTGCCTCTGCCACGTCTCTTCCCCTATTTTGACCACAATCATCAACAGATATATTTGTCTAACAATGGCCTCTTCTCTTTCCTCGGCCAGATTAGTCAATATGTTCCTGATCCATTCCCACTCAGCGATAACCGCCGTTTGATTGCTGGTTTTTGGTCTGATATTGATACGCGTGGATCGGTCACGAATGGCAATCAAGTCTACTACCATATTCATGACAACAGCAGCTACGGTGGTGTTTTTGTCAAAGCTTCGACTTATGTTCGACAATATTTTCCCGGGGAACGTCCATTCAATCCATCGATGATCATTATTGGTACCTGGTATCGAGTAGGTGCTTATAGACAACAGACTAGTCGCCTGAATACATTTCAAATTGTGCTTGCTACAGATGAAGTTCGCAGTTTTACTTTTTTGCTCTATCACGATCTACAATGGGCAAGTCCGTCGGTTACTTCAGTAACAGGTGGTCAAGCTGGCTTCAATGCAGGCGATGGTGTTGTTTTTCAGATGCTACCCTATTCGAGGACGAATAATGTGACTCTATTGACAAACATAAGTAATGTCAATGTGCCGGGTCTATTCGTTTTTCGAACTGATACAGATACAATTAACCTTGGTGGATGTGGCACTACGTATCCACTAACATTTAGACCTCTTCGTGGTTCACAACTAGGCTCGACAGCGCTCACTTTTCAAGGACCTTGTTTCACTAATATGAGTGCAGGTGATGTCAAGTGTCGTTTTGGTGAATCGAACATTGTTGACGCTCTTATCGTGAGTAATTTTCAAGCTATCTGCCTCACTCCCGCATCACCATTGCCCGGCTATGTGAATGTCTATTTGTCTACAGACGGAGGCATAACTTATCGATTGTTTTCAAACTCATTTGCCTATACCCCATTGCAATTCGGTACTGCAACGGTCGATAATACTGAAGTCAATACTGTCAATATAAGCAGTGTAATTATATCGATTGGTGATCAAGTAACATTGTCCTGGTTGTTCTCGGAAGCGACACAACAAAACTGGCCTAATGGTACGATACAAATTGAAGTGCAGTTATCGACTATCACATTGAACGAATCTACCGGAGGTATTGACTTAGGTGCCAGTTTTATCCTTCAACGAAATCTCACTCCTCTGATCGGTATTCAGTTCACAACAATTACTATCCCATTGATTAGCAACAATATTCAATCCAGCTTTTTCAGAATAGTAGCGCGAGACAACACAACCAACATTATTTATGCTACTCTTAGTTCATCAGTTTTTGCCCTAAACTTAACTTCCTCAATCGCTGAAGGCTTTTGTCAAACATGGGCTGCTAGACAACCATCGGCCGCCACCTGGAATCAAAATCTGTTATCTTGTCCGATGAGTGTAGCGCAAGCACGTGTCGCTCGATGTTGTTATGAACCAGATCCGATGTGCAGGGCTACAAGTTACAATTCATTCACCAATTGCAATCTTCATCGTGCACGAGCTGGTCACGAAGAAATATCGGCTATCGCTTGCTATCTTTCTCTTTCAGGCAATGAATGGGGTGCAGGCACTGAATGCTGCTACGATACCGAAGGACAATTAATCACCCGAGGTACAGGAGCAGGAACAGATGACCGACATCGACCGTCTTCATTGCCAGTAGCTCATTTTTTCGATGATACACTACCTTATTTAGCCTGTTGCTTACTGACTGCAAATGATGAGTCATGCACAACTTACTTCAATTTACGACCATTGCGCCGTGGTAGTAACTCACGTAGTGTTTGGGGTGGGACTTGGGGTGATCCGCACTACACTACACTAGACGGTTCAGCATTTACTTTCAATGGCTATGGAGAATATACTTATTTGGCTATAGCCTCATCGGCACCAGCTCCTGATAGCTTCAATTCATCGTCCCAAAACTATAGTTTTATAGCTCAAGTGCGTACAACACCAGTTTTCTATTCAAATCAAACAATCGCAACTTTAGCCACAGTTACGCGAGGATTAGCCGCCAAATCCGATCATCCACAGGCAGAAAGTATCAGTGTTACAGTGTCTAGACGAGAACTACTGATTGTTCGTCGAGGCAACGAAACCATCGATCTTGATACAGTCAGTGCTGATACAGTGAGTACCAGGGATTCATTTGTTCTCTTCTATCCCGAAATGACACTGGAACGAAATCGAACAAGTGGTGCACTGACACTTTCTTGGTTCATAGGAGTCAGCATTCAAATTACACCTATTATTTTGAGTTCACCAGTTGCTGGCACTGTTGTTTTAAACCTTGGTGTATCTGTAGCTGGTTCTTTCCAAGGTCGCACCTATGGTCTACTGGGCTTCTACGATAACAATCGAACAAATGACCTTCGTACTCCAAATGGATCTGTCGTCGATAATGCTGATTCACTAACAGAGGCACAGATATACTATGAATTCGGACAAACATGGGTAATCAATCCGAAACAATCTCTTTTTTTTTATGAAGCGGGCGATTCAGCATTATACTATACCAATAAGTCCCTGGTATATGTGCCAATATTTGCCGAACAGCTTCCAACTACGCAGGCAAATACTACACGTAGTATTTGTAACATCTCATCAACAAATGAATCGACTTGGACAGTTGCAGAAAGAACATGTTACTATGATGTAACCGTCACCAATGATATTGCATTCGGGCGTGCGTCATTGGCCACTGGCAATGAAATGACGGAAATTGCCATTGATCAGCGAAGCCCACCCGTATTTAATTCAGCACTAGAACTTATAATGACAGTCAATGTATCGAGCAACATTACAATCAACTTTACTGCTGTGAGCCCATTCACTACAAATGTTAGATATGCTCTATTGATAGGGCCGAACACGGCTGATTTCGATACACAGACAGCTCTATTTCGTTGGCAAGTCCCTTCGTTGCCAGCAGAGGATATATTGGTGCGTGTCAGTGCTCAAGATAGTCAATACAATCTGACGTCAAGACACGAGCTTGTGTTACGTGTACTGGATTCGTTGATTATAAATATTAATGAAACCACTTTAACATCTACAATATCCATAACATCCACAACATCTACAACATCTACAACATCTACAACATCCACAACATCCTCCGCATCTACAACATTTTCCAGCAGTTACATTTTTATACCATGGTTCTGTGTGACTGCTCTCATGGTCGATCCATTTTATTTGTTTTCATCATTCATCATCAAAAACATGATATAAAATTGACTATGATCGAATTCAAAGGAACATTTAAATTCTCAACTATTCTGAATTACATAACAGTAGTTTGCGTAAAATTAAATAAAATCACCAAAAGCTTCATAGTTCTGATTGCTATTTGTGACTAAACCTGAGAATATTGTTCAGAGTCGCTCAGGGTATGGAAGTGTATGGCCGCCTTCGTATTGGTTAAACATGTAACAGTAAAATGATGAAAAAACGATCATCTAAGTTGTATAGAAATTATTAAGGCTTATCGAGAATGCATGAAACATCTGAAGTTATAATTGAAGCAAAAACAGCAGAAATGGAAACAGATTAGTAAGCCTGTTCGAAACACGACGTTACCAAGCAGGGCATTTGTTTATCATGTTTATTTCTTAATTTGTAAGAATGAGACGGAAATGCTAGTGCGTGTTCTCATTGATGACTCACGGCGTTGAAAAATTACATATGAATATCATGTTGTTTTAGTGTGATGAAGTTTCATGCAATTATATAGAGCGGTCAAAAAAACTTACTCTCTTAGAAAATGTAATTCCTGAATTCATAACATTCAGTTTTTAAATCAAATTGTTTGCAATAGATGGAGCTGGAAAAATCTACTACATAAAAATGTCTTTATTTTGAAGAAATTCTACCGTTATTTAGAAGAAAACAGATTTTAAAATACCACGAAATCCTATTTTGGAACGAAATAATTTTCTCTAGTTTTTGGTCTTTTGCAAGAATTCAATAATTCAATATCGAAACCCTTTGTTAACCTGAAATTCCCAGACTATACTTCTAGACGTTGACAGATTAATTAGACATAAATTATTGAGAATCATTGTCAGTTTACTAAGATGATTAAAATATTCGCACAATAGCTCGATTGCATTCCAGTCATAAAACGACGTGTCATAGTAGTTCGATGCTGTAGTCAATTGAATAAGTTTTAGTTAAGATCAATCATATGCAATCGATAAAGTGTTTGAACAAATATAACAAAAAATACAACATATTGATGAATTTTGGTTGTATAATCCGAAACAAGTTACGGTACAATAGAGAAGAATGAAACAAAAATTAGCATTAAACAATAATAAACGTCATAAGTTCAAAAAGTATTTGAAAAACAATGCTCTTTAAATCGAACTATTATCTATATTAAGTATACTATTTATTCTATAGCTACATCAAATTTGAAGCCAACAATACATTTCAAGGAGAGATCTTTTGTTTGCTTTCAGTGAAGATATACTATTCCGGCACTGATTTCATACTTAAGAAATGTATTATTTGTTTCTAGTTGCGCTGGAATGTTTTGAAAATAAAAATATTTCGATCTCTTACCTTTTTTCATAACTATATTTGTTCCAGAAAGAATTCGACTAAAAGTTGGATTCTAAAATAGCAGAAAAAATTTAAAAAAAAAGAGTGAGTTCTTTTTGACCATCTCGTATGTTAATATTGAGCTATTTATCATTAGTTAACAAGCAATTGTTGATATGTCAAGCTGTTTTTAAATATTTTTATGAATGTATAAAATTATTTTCTACGCTGCTGTCTGATCGAGTGATTCAAGAATTACAACGATGCAATTGACAGTATTCTTTGATTTCAGCCGTTAATTGATATTTAGACACTTCGTAATCAAATAATTAGTTAATTCTTCCAAGAATATCTGTAAAAATAATGTTTAACTATGTAGATCATTGACTATTGAGCATCCATGAACTAGGTTGACTATCATAGATCAAGCTCAGTCTATCGAGAGTTCTGATGCAGAAGTACATAAAATTATTTGTGTGATACATGCGTTACATATTCATGTACAAATCGCTCAAGATTTATATACTAAGGATAATTACAATTCCATCTTTTTTATTGTAACAAGCAATTAGATACTATGTGCATTATGTAGACTGGAACAGGCTATGAATATCTTGAACATAGTTCATACCATGATTTTCTGAAGAAAACTTGATTTTTGTATTTTTTTTTTCTTTCGTAAATTATCTTTAGATTAGAATAATCATTAAGTTTCAATATCATCAATAAAAAAAAAACTGGAACTGTCTCAAAAAAAAATGTATCAATTTCGAAAAGTGTGAAATAACAGATGGTTGTAAATATAATTGAACAGCTGATAACATATACATTTATGAGTATACACTTTCTTTTTATAGCTTCACTTCAATTGAGTCATGGCATTTAAAGATTTCTTAACACAATGTAAATTTACTTTTTTTTTTTTTTTTTTTTGATTTTTCTCTCTGAAATTTTCATTATATATTAACATGTCCACATACCATTTGATAAAGATAGAAAAAAAAGAAAAGAAAGAAAAATTACACATGCAACTGCATCTGTTGAAAGAGAGGGGAAGAATAGAATCAACAACAGATATAGAAAAAGAAAATGCGACGACATTGATTATAAGAACAAATAAATCTTTGAATTTTTTTTCTGTACTTTGACTGATTGGAGGATATACATTGACTGACTGATTAATTTATTTAATTTTTTTTTTTCGTTTCAATTCGTTCTACATGCAATTCATACAATTTGATTGATTCGTTTGTCTATTGCCTTGCGATAGACCAGGAGATATTCCAGATGTTCCTTCAGTTGAATTTACTGGAGTCTTTTTAAGTATTAGTCTTGCCATTTCGAAAAATGCTTTTTCAACATTAACATTATTTTTCGCTGATGTTTCAAGAAATGGTATTGCATGTTCACGTGCTAATGCTTCACCGCGTGCTCGTGTAATACAACGTTTATCGTCCATGTCACACTTATTACCGATAAGCATTTTAACAACATCATCAGATGCATGATCATCAATATTACGTAGCCATTTATTTATATTTTCGAAAGAACGTGCTTGTGTCACATCATAAACAAGCATTATTCCGGTTGCTCCCCGATAATAAGATGCTAAAATAATAATAATAATAATTATTATTATTTAAGAAAATAAAAAGTAAATAAATGAATCTTACTAGTTATTGTATGAAATCGTTCTTGACCGGCAGTATCCCTAAGTAATACAAATGAATAGATAAAATTGAAAATAAATAATTATATCTTGATGCACTAATGATTTTTTTTTCTTCTTCTTTTGTATTACTCATGGGAATAGTATGTAGTGATCTCAATCCTAATCTATTAGAACTTTAGGATATAACTGTTTGAATAATTAGAGATTCTTCTATGATAAAATCTAACGACAAACTTGATTACATAACGAATAGTATGAATAACACGCAATATTATTCATTCATGTTGAAGGTAGGTAAAGATGATTATCTTTACACGTACGTGTAGACATTGTTTCCCAGAGGCAAATATATATGACAGTATTATCTATTATTTTGATTCATATTTATCATCATCAATTTAATTTTTATACATCTTACCATATCTGTAATTTTATCTTACGTCCATCAAGTTCAATTGTTTTTATTTTAAAATCAATACCAATTGTAGAGATAAATGAAGCATTAAATGAATCATCAGAAAATCGAAATAAAATACAAGTCTTTAATAAAAAAAAAATAAAATAATCAATTATTTACATTTATTTTCTGATAAAATTACTTACTTTACCCACACCACTATCGCCAATTAATAATAATTTGAATAGAAGATCATAATTTTTTTTGGCCATTCTTGGGCCAATGTTCTACAAATATAAATCAATTATGCTTTAGTTTATCAATTGATAACAACAAGTCAAGATGATCTTTATACAAATATACATATATATGTATATATACATCTATATATATATATATCCAAAAAATATAATAACGTCGTTATATCTGTAATATTATGTATATATCAATCAACAATACGAATAAAAACTACCTTCTGACTAATGTCGACAATCGATGAAGTATCGCGTTTGAGCGATTGATGTCGACGAGATGAGGATGATGTACGTTCATGTAACCAATATTGTGCAAATTCACTCGTTCGTTTCAATGAAAAACACCGACGATGATGATAATGATGATGACCAGACATAGGTGACGTACGACAGCTGACAACACTCGTTCAATCTCTACGACAACTGACTAAGCACTATAGTTGACACTCATCAGGTGTCAAAGGAGACGAAAGAAAGAAAGGAAATCGAATGTTACTCTTAACCTCAATGGCAGCGACAGCAATAGAATACAAATGATCAACATTTTTTTCTCTCTCGTTCTCGTTCCTCCCTTTTATTTCATTTGTATGTGTATACATCTATCAATGTTCATCTATTAGAAACCGCAAAAAAAAGGAAGAAAAAGAACGATAGAAGAGAGAAGAGGCGGAATGACAACTCTCGTATATGTACTCATTCTATGCTTCAAGGCGATCTAAAAAATGTCCCCTTAGATGTAATATTTAATCAATGACCAACATCTCATATTACGCATTCATTTCATTTACTATTAAAAGAAAAAAGAAAGACAATAATAATACATTTTTTTCTTTGTTTTAATCTATTCTTTTCTTGTGCATAGGTGGAACTCACACAAAAATAAAATAATATAAGGTAAAAATTCAATCAAACTAGGAGAGAAAACAAACAGACAGTAGTATAGGTGTTCTTGGATAGGATATTCAAATATATTTTTTTTTTGTTTTCACTACAATATCCGCCTATATGCTGGAAAAAAAAAGAAAATTATAAAAGAAGAAAAGGATCGATTCAAGTCAAGTGTCACAATGAAAAAGAGAACACCAACAAAAAAGAACTGATGTTAGAATAATTCTTTTTCATTCTTGTTAAGATCCATCAGATCTCGTTTTCTTTTTATAAATCAAGAAAGATTGAACGTGAATCTTCGACATATTGTTTGATTTTTCGGAGAAATAGGACTGCATCACGTCCATCCAATATACGATGATCATATGTAAGTGCTACATACATCATTGGACGAATTTCGATCTAACAAAAAAAAAAAAAATAAATAAATAAATCAAAATCAAAATAAAATCATACTTTGCCATTAACAGCTACTGGTCGATCAAATATGCCATGCATACCAAGAATAGCAGATTGTGGTGGATTTATAATTGGTGTACCAAATAATGAACCAAATACTCCTCCATTACTAATTGTAAATGTACCACCATCCATATCTTCAATGGCAAGTGAACCTTTTTTTGCCTATGAAGAAAAACAAATCGAATACAAAGATATATCAAAGCGTAACAAAAGTTTTGCAGCCATTCAATCTTCTATTACGATTTTTTTTAGCTATTTTCATAGACTACTAATACTAAACCCGCGTATCATCATATTATTTCACACAAGGAAAAATCGGAAAAGAAGTTCATTTTATGATTGACAACTAAGGTCATTTTTTTAATTAAATCAATGTTACACAAAAATAAACTGTCATAAGTACTGTTAAAAGATGACAACATTTATCATTCTATCAAATACTTTCTATGAGATTAGAACGGATTTTGAGAGTTATACATAAGAAAAAGAACGTTTTATTTTCAAATCAATTGACTTTTGATGTTGCTGAATAGAATTGCATGCAAAACTTTTGCTACATCTAATATTTCATTTCATAAAGAGAAAAAAAACCAAATCCTATACTTTTTCACCATATTCATTAATTGTTCGTTCAATTTCAGCATAATTCATTTTTTCAACATTTCGAAGTACGGGTACAACTAAACCCTAAATAATAAACAGATACTTATATTTTATATATTTA